GTAGTTAGGTTCATATCCCTCTCCATGCAATTACTTGCCTCTCCTTCAGTTCATTCAAGAACTTAGCTTAACCATCATAAGATTCACACTTGCATTTTCTAGTGCTCTGTTCAAACAAAAAATTAGATCATAAGTCTTAGTAAAAGAAAAAAAATACGATTTCATGTTTTCCACAACATTAACCAACCTCATCATAGTCAACCATATGGCCGCAATAATGGCCTATTCCAAGCTTCGAAGGGACTAGGCCGTAGTTGGCTTTAACACCACATTCGCATATGATAGGAGGTGCTTTGAAAATTAACCTTTCTTTCTTCTTTTCCTTTGCCTTTGGTGGCTCCGGCCATTGATTCTTAGGACTGTAGGGCCACTCCTTGAAACAACACTTCTCCATTGAAAACACCTAAAAAAGGCGACATTAGTACATGAACATATATAGCTCAACATTTCATTAGATATAGGTTCCACTTACTTCATGCTTGTTTGGACACACAAACTTCAAAGTATTTTTAGGGTTTATCACAACTCGATCTCTCAGATTCGCATGCAGGAGGTTCCTCGAGTCGCCTAACTGCATGCTAAGTGCTTCTCCTTAGTCGCCATTAGCGTGTGGTTAGGGGAGGTGGAACCCACCTACGAAGTGCTCACATGGATGTCTCCCTCTCCACCAATCGTCGAAAAGGAGGTACCTTGTGTCAAACTTGTTTGGACCATCGATCCATTGAAAGAAGAAGCACCTCTCATGGGCCTACACAACAAGATTCCAAAAAATTATTAGTAACCTACTAACACAAATGAAGAAAAAAGATATGGAACAAAATACTTACATTAAAACGACTGCATGTGTAGAAGCAATGCGCAGCTGTGTCTGGATGTATCGATTGAAACACGTCTGTCGACAAACCATAGTCACACTTAGGGACATAGAGGTCAGGAGGGACTGAGGCATCTTTGCTAGACGCGTCGGTGTATAATTCTCTAGGTCGACCCTGTTTTTGCCAAAACTCTTCCCGATACATGTCTTGCATCTAACAAAACGGTTGTAATTCAACACCAATCAAAACATCACAAATTAATGTAAAGGAGAACCATTTGCATAAAACTAAGAAAAAATATAACCTACACTTACGAACAAAAAATGACCTTACACTAAACATGGTAAACAATGTTCTAACTAACCAATTAACCTTAACATTGACAAAATGGAGCTAATATTTTCCTCTAAACCCTACCTACACATAGTTCCTGTCGATGAAATATGGTCGGCAGTCCATCTAGGGGTATGCCCATGATGGTAGATTGTCGGTAGACGGTGCGCGTAATCAGGAACCAGATGGTTACAGAGGCACAAGACACAAGATTTATACAGGTTCGGCCGCCGTGTTGGCGTAATACCTATGTCCTGTGTCTCATTATTCTGTATTGATTGAGGCCTGTTGGAGATGTTTTCTGAGGGGGACCCCTGCCTCTCCTTATATAGTATGGAGGAGGAGGGTTACAAGTAAAGTATCCTATTTGGTACTATTACAATATCTAGTACAACTTGTAAGCTTGCCGTGCACGCCTCGATCTTATGGGCCGGGCCACCTTGGATGGTGCGGCCCATGTACCATCTTGTGGGACCCGAGGGTATATCCCGCGCAGTTCCCAAATATACTTTTCCTCCAAACCCTAGCTAGCAATCCTAATCTTTGAATCCACTATTCAAACAACAAATAAAACCATCGTTACCTTGTTAGAGGCTGAAGAGAAGCTTAGGGCAGGTAGGGAGAGAGGGATGGAGGCGGGAAGGGAAGGCCGGGCGACAGGCGGCCTCAGAGGAGGTGGGAGACGGCGGCGCGGGCTCCTGGACCGGCGTCTAGGTCTTTTCGAAGTAAGGCAGAGAGAGAGGGAGAGAGCCTACGCCGGGGAGTTAAGCCGGCCCTGTCGCGCCATGCGGCGTGGCGCGGCATTGCCGCGCCTTGATCCGTGGCGCGGCAGCCCCGCCATGTCAGCGATCAACGTCACGGCTGACTGCCACATGGTCACCCCCGCCGCGCCGCCATGCATGGTGCGGTAGAGTGATTGTGCCGCGCTATGCGAATTGGCACGACCAAAAGTGTTAGTTTAAAAAAAAAATAAACAGTGTCAGATTTAGAAAATAGTTTAAAAAAGTATTAAAAATAAAAAAATTCTCTGGCGGTGAGGCCCCCTGGCTCTGGGCACCGTTGTACAGTCGTTGCACATACGTGATGGTATGCACTATATTGCGTGTTTGGTTTTTTTATGAAGGGAGATGGGACGCAACGATCCTCTTTTTGATATTGTTTGTTTATGAGATAAAACTGGAATAGAGTCCAACTCCTTTGAGGAATGTTACGGAAATATATAGGATGTCCCCATCCATAAAAAAAAGGGACAGTGAGAACGAGAGAATGACAATCGAGGCCTACATGTCAGATGGTTTATTTTAGATTTTGATGCTCTGAAACCAAACATGAGATAGGGACAGCTCCATCCTTTGCAACCAAACATAGGACAACCAAACATAGGACAAGGACGGTTACGTCAGGATGGAACCATTACATCTCTCATTCCCTCACAACCAAACACGCACGTAGAAAACACAGTTACAGGTCCATTTGAAATGCACACATTTTATTGGAATCGTATAGAAATTTCAGAGGGATCAATTCATTTTTCACAGAGAAGAACTCACGTTCCAAACAGAGCTAGATTTAGAAAAAAAAGTCAATTTGTCTTGAATTTAACTAAAATAATAGAAAATGTTATCAACATTTATGTTAACAAATATCTTTTCAGTAAAAAATATATTCCACGATTAATAATGATATTTATTCATTATCATAAATCTCAATACTTTTATATGTAAATTTGATGAAACATAATTGGAGGGTTGCTGTTGATGGATCGCCTGCTGCCGGTTTGCTTTAAGGCTTTGTTTAGTTCCTCTCCAAAAGTTTATACCCTATCCCATCGAATGTTTGGACACATGCATGGATTATTAAATATAAATTAAAAAAATAACTAATTGCACAGATTGCGACTACTTTGCGAAACGAATTTTTTAAGCCTAATTAGTCAATGACTTGACAATAAAGTGCTACAGTACATATGTGCTAATGACGGATTAATTAGGCTTAATAAATTCGTCTTGCGATTTACTAACTGATTCTGTAATTTGTTTTTTTATTAGCATTTGAACACCCCATACGATACCCCTATGTGATAGCCGATGTGACACCCTAAAACTTTATAACCTGGACTAAACAAGACCTAATTTTAGGGGGCGTTTAGATCCAAAATTTTTTGGATTTTGGTTTACTGTAGCATTTCGTTTGTATTTGGTAATTAGTATCTAATTATGGACTAATTAGATTCAAAAGTTTCATCTCGTGATTTCTCACCCAACTGTGCAATTAGTTTTTTTTTCATCTACATTTAGTACTCCATGCATGAGCCGCAAGATTCGATGTGATAATTACTGTGCAAAAATTTTTGGAATCTAAACGCCCCCTTACCGACATTTCTCTGGAACAGTGTTACTGCGCCGTACTGCTGTGCCACCTCCCGTACCGTACCGTACCAAGGATGTGTCGGCCACGTCCGTTAGCAAATTCATGGCTCTTGGGAGGGGACCGAGCGAGGGAGAGAGCGCGGTGAGCCGGTGACAGAAAAAACACATACTAAAACTATACTACTACGAGTTAGATTATTTAATACCAGTGCTTAGTGGATTTAAACGGGTATTAAATATAACAATTTAATTTTACTGCTTACTTATTCATCAATAAAAAATTACTGCTCACTTCTTATCATTTTATGAGAGGCACAAGCACAGTCGAAAAGTGGAGGCAACCAGCGAATCTAGGCCTCGTTTAGATTGTAAATTTTTGCAACCTAGACACTGTAGCACGTTTCGTTTGTATTTGACAAACTTTGTCCGATTATGGACTAACTAGGCTCAAAAGATCCATCTCGTGATTTACAACCAAACTATGTAATTAGTTATTTTTTTACCTACATTTAATGCTCTATGCATACGTCCAAAAATTGATGTGAGAAAGAGAAAAAACTTAGAATTTAGAGATGATCTAAACAAGGCCTAGTGCCTTTTTCGTTTCGTTTTAACCCCACAACCTTTTCGATCTGGTTTGTCACGCTGTCGTGACGTTTTTTTTTGTTCGCAGAAGGCAGAGCCGAACCGCAAGTCCGCAAGTGACAAGAAGCAACCCGCCTTTGCCGTTGCTGGACGGGGCCCACCACCACCACCCTCCCTCCACCTCCACACGCCAGCGGCCAGTGCAGTCGTCGTCTACTCGTCTCCGTCCTCCTCCGGTCCTCCCTCTCCCCGTCCTGGCGTCCTGCCCCGCACCCGCACCATTCCTTCCTCGTCCGTCGGTCCGTTCCCACTCCGGCTCCATCCATCCCCGTTCCCCAGTCAAACAAACCACCCCAGAGGAAAGTTGCAGCGCCTTTCCTGCGAGTCCAGCGTCGGTTTGATAAGATAATCCGGGCGGAGTGGGCGGAGAACGGCAGTTCCCACGCACGCTGCCCAGCGTTCGTCGTCTCGCCCGTTCAAAGATTTGTTGTTCGCTGCTGACCGACCGACCGACTGACTGACCCGAGCGGGGGGAGTCGTTGGGGACCCGGCCACCCGGGCCTGCACCAGCACCGCCGGTCGCGGTTGTTGCTTGCCTGGCCACGACCGCCGCTAGTGGAGGGGTTGTCTTGCCTTGCCTTTCTTCTCTTTGACCCGGCCTAGCCTTGGTTCGATTGGCCGTCGTTGAGGCCACTCCGTACGCCGCCCGCCGCAGGGGGGTCGCGAATTCCCCGCCATCTCTTCACTTACCTCCACACCTGCTGCCGCTGCTGGTGGTCGTGAAAATATCTGCCGCGGAAAAGTAAGCCCCCTCGCCCGCCGCCGATGCTGGACTACTACGACTAGCCACCCGCACGCGCGCAAGGTGCTCGACGGATTGCTGCTGCACCAGGCAGACATGGCGGGCGCAGCGGCGGGTCGGGGCGACTGGGAGGACCTGGTGCGCCGGATGTTCCCGCCGGGGACCACCATCCCGGAGGCGCCGCCGAACCTCGACTACTCCATCGCGCTGGAGTACGACGGGCCGGACGTCTCGTACGAGCTCCCGCGGATCGACCCCGTCTGTCTCCCCGCCATACCCACCGCCGAGCCGGTCTCGGGGCCGCTGGGGCTCGGCCTCGGCGGCAGCGGCGTCGTGCTCGTCGCGCCCGTCATCGGCCCCGCTGCGGCCCGTGCCCGTGCCCATGCCAACCCGCCGGCGCCGGGGGCGTCACGGCCTGGTGGTGCTGCTGCTCACCGTGCCGCGGCGCCGCCTGCGCGGGCGAGGAGGGGAAGCTCGCCGTCTGCCGGTTCGGCGGCGGCGGCGCGGGATGAGGACGGCTGCTCCGATGCTGACGATGAGGACGAGGACGGCTCCTGCCCGCCGCGGAGTTCCAGGCCTGCTGCGCCCGGAGGGAAGGCGGCCTCAGGTGGTCACCTTTGGGGAGCCGGAGGATAGCAGGTACGAGAGCCAGGACTTCGACGCGGCGTCCGCCGAACAACAGTACGTCGCGGTGACGAGGCCCGCGGTCGAGAGGAAGGGGAGGAGGACCTGCTGCCACCGGTGCGGGAAGAGCAAGTGGGAGAGCAAGGAGTCGTGCATCGTCTGCGACGCGCGCTACTGCGGCCACTGCCTGCTCCGCGCCATGGGGTCCATGCCCGAGGGCCGCAAGTGCGTCACCTGCATTGGCCGGCCCATCGACGAAGCCAAGCGCCCAAGCTCGGCAAGGGCTCCAGGGTACTGGCGCCGCTTGCTCAGCCCCCTGGAGGTCAGGCAGATCCTCAAGGTCGAGAAGGAGTGCCAGGCGAACCAGCTCCGGCCTGAGCAGCTCGTGGTCAATGGTTTCCCTCTTCATGATGAGGAGATGGCGGATTTGCTTAGCTGCCAACGGCCTCCTGGGAATCTCAAGCCTGGAAGATACTGGTATGATAAGGAGTCAGGATTGTGGGGAAAGGTAATTCTTGTCGGTTTCATGGCGAACATGCCGCTTCATGTAACCTCAGCTTCTTCTGCTGATAACACTCTATTTCTGCTGATATATATTTGCAGGAAGGTGAAAAGCCAGACAGGATTATTAGCACTAACCTCAACTTTAACGGAAAGCTTCAGCCTGATGCTAGTAACGGCACCGCCAGGTTTTCATTAACGGACGGAAATTACAAAGATTGAACTGAGAATTCTAAAGGTGTCAATTTTTCCTTAGTCTTGGTTTTCCAAGAATATGATGATTGAAAGTTGCTATTAAATGTACATTCTAGTTCTCCTGTGTCCCTCTTCTAACCGAATCGGTCACAATCACCGTCTTTCATGCAGTTTGCAAAAGTCCAATGCCCCCGTGATACTCACTTTTGGGTTTACCATGATGGCCGCTACGAGGAAGAAGGACAAAACAATATCAAAGGGAAAATATGGGAGTCAGTATGTATCTTGGTCAAACACTCCTTTTTGTTTTTCTAAACATTGTTCGCCTTTTTTTTGAAATTAACATGTATTGCTGTTTCGCTACTTTTAGCATGACTTGTTAATTCTACTCTTTTACAGCCTTTGACACGCTTTTATGTGCGCTTTGGTTTCACTACCTGTGCCTCCTACAAACTTTGATGCGACAAAAGATGAAGCCCCATATTCATCGAGAACTGTACCTGACTACTTAGATCACAAAAGAATACAAAAGCTTTATTCTTGGATCACCTGGAGCTGGAACAAGCACCATATTTAAGCAGGTCTCACCAAAATTTACATCCATAACGCCTTCAGTTTCCCTATATGTTTCTGCAGCGTAGCAGCAAGGTTCCATGTGACATCACTTATAGACTATAGCAGCATGCATCACTTGTTCATAGCTTGCTATTTGGAACCTTGACGGACTCCAAATTTGTCATCAGTCTGTCTATGAAACTCAGCTGAAAATTTATTAATAAAGTTTGTCTGTTCAAGTAGTCCCAAATTCTGGTAACGAGAGACCCCTTTGACTATTTTGGAGTGTCGGTTTCTGCAGTACTCCATAAAAACCTTATGTAAACTAGGTCTTATATACATTTATGTTTGGTAAACCAACACTTTGAATCTTGGCTTAAAGTTTATTACTAAAGTTTGAGCAACAAAACGACAAAAAATGGCTTTTTCTTCAGAAACTCCTATATGCTTTCTATAAAGCCGATTTTACCTGTCAAAAAGGGGTCCCTTGTTTTGATAGTGTGAAATACTATTATTGTTTCGGAGTGTTGATTTGTGTGGTTAAACACTGAAATCTTCTGTCAGATAGTGCTGATATATGTCTATGTGTCTAGTTTAGTAATTGTATATGCATCTAGATTTTAAATGAGAAATGGCACCATTTGAGTTTTGGATTACATAACAGGCTAAGCTATCATTTATCTTGTATATACATTTGCATGACATTTAGTTTACATAACAGGCTAAGTTGTTATACGGCAATAGATTTACTGATGAGGAACTTGAGAATATCAAATTAATGATCCAAAGCAACATGTTTAAGTACCTGGGGATTCTGCTTGAGGGCCGTGAGCGCCTGAGGAAGAGACTTTGGCTGTATCAAATCACCCAAGCTCAGAGGGTGATGATCCTCAGCAAGGTACCAGGACAGCTGATACTTGTTCTGCTAATTTTTCCAGGAGCTTATGCTGTATATTGTTGGTCTTTTTGATGCAGATGAAATTAAATCTCAAGTTCTAATTCTTGCATCTACTCGATAAATGCAAAGCTGAAGAAGTTTTCTGATTGGCTTCTGGACATCATTGCAACGGGAGACCTAGATGCATTCTTTTCCTGCAGCTACCCGTGAATATGCTCCAGTCGCTTGATGAGTTGTGGAAAGATCCTGCCATTCAAGCAACATATATAAAAGAAAGGATGAATTGCATTTTCTCCCTGATGCTGCTGAGTATTTCTTGAGCAGGGTATAAATCAAACATTGTAACTTAAATTAATGCAGCCCATTTCATTGCTAATAAGTACAGAGTTGCCCTTGATTTATCCTGTTGATGACTTGCATTTCATGGATTCTGCTAGATCAGCACTCCAAATTATGACTGTTACTCTATTAGTGAATCCCTTTACCCATTAGTAATATTGTTGCTAATTAGCCTAGGGTATATCTTTCCTTTGAATTTTAGGAAATGGAATTGATGGTCTGCTCATTTATATAAGAAACTTTATGTTTCCAGATTTGGTGGCCTTCTCTCATTTGCAAACAATGATCTTTGGCCCCATGCTAACTGGATGTGCTGCTACGTTTTTTTTCCTCCACTGTTATGGTATTTGATTACCTAAATTGACTTGTCCATCGTATGGCAAATCCATGCAGGCTATTGAAGTATCAAGTAATGAATACTGAACCGTCAGACAAAGATGTAATATCGCTGAAGGAGTAACACAAGGGAATGGATTGGCCTTCATTGATTTCACTTTGGATGACCGGAGCCCTATGTCAGAACCCTTCGGTGACAATCACGATGCATACTCTCAACCAGTAAACAAGTAAAGTCTATCTTCATCCTCATGTTTCAAGCACATTGATACTGGGCTTAGTTCTCTGTATCTTATAGGCAATTTTGATGTGTTGGTATTGTGGAATCATATCTCTTGCTACCATTTTCTTAATTCAATAGCATAGTATGCAGGTTGCATTTTTTTTCATCTCTTCATCTGTCAAATTCTTTTTCCCCTTTAGAACAAGTTCCAAAAATCTTGGTTGTCTCATCTGCTACTATCTTCTCTCAGATACCAGCTGATTAGAGTGGCGCCCAAGGGCATGAACGAGGCTGCAAGTGGGTGGAAATGTTTGAGGATGTTAGCATGGTGATCTTCTCTGTAAGTGCTCAGCGATTATGACGAGCTTGGAGCACCAGCGAGCGGCAGTAGTAGGACACTCATGAATAAGATGATTCAAAGCAGGGACTTGTTTGAAGCTACAATCAGGTACAAAGAACCTTTTCTTGGAATTATTAGTTGAGCCTCGATTCCAGTATAGTAGTATCAAATTAGGTTACTGAACCATATATATATATATATATACGTTTACTTGCTACATACAGACAGCCCGTGCTTCCCGTGACACGCCGTTCGTGCTGGTGAAAAAGGAACAAGTACGACCTGTTCGAGGAGAAGATCGGTCGGTCGCCGCTGTCGTCGTGCGAGTGGTTCAGCGACTTCGCCCGCTTCGGACGCACCACAACAACCAGTCGCTGGCGCAGCATGCGTTCTACTACGTGGCCAAGGAGGTTCATGGACCTGTACGCGGCGAGCACGGGGCGGAAGCTAGCCTGTGGCAGGCGCGTGTCTGCGACCGCCCCACCGTTGCCAGACGAGGCCTTCCGCTACATCCGAGGTGTCTGATGGGAGGACGAGCGCGACGCC